TATTTTGAGCTTGATTTCATTACTGTGGGTTAGGAATAGGTCTGGCCATGTGGTTATAATTAATCCTAAGGATATTTTGAAAACAAGTGTGAGCGTGAACACATATGTGTTGTATGAATGAGAGAAAGTGATTATTTCTAGTGTTTTCTTAGGCTACTTGAATGCATCTTAGGTCACAGGCTTGTAAATTTTAGATTGCATCTTTCTGAAGTAACTATTCAGTTGTTGTGGAATAGAACAGAACCCTTTAGGATGAGAAAAGTGGGGTTTAAATCTAGGAATAAATAAATAAATAATGAGTTTTAAATGTAGCTAAAACAGTAACCTTACTAAACAGGAACCTTGGGCTGACCAAGGGCAAGATGGATGGCTGGCATCCTTGAAGTGACTTGAGGTGACGGCCTACAGGGAGCTCTGGCGTGGGCTGGTCCATGAGGTCACGAAGAGTTGTAAACGATTGAACAAATGAACAACAACAAAACAGTAACCATGTTCGGGGAGAGGATCTTAGAATTTTATCTGTGGGTAATTACTTTACATCCAAAAAGAAAAGTTCCAAGTTGTGTTATCACCACATCCCAAATATAACCAGCAGTCTCAGAGTTTCTAGCAATTGAGATTACTCATTTTCCATGGAGGTAATGTGTTTGTAGCTTTATCCTCTAAAATTTAGCAGAGGAAATTGTAGCCTAACACCTCCTGTTTAGGTAGGATTTAAAAAAAAAACTTTCTCATCTTACTAAGACAAAATGTAAGGTTTGTGCTTAACTGAGTGTTTCCTTAAAAACCAACTTCCCTTCCTTTATTTCAATTCTTATCTTCTCTCTCAAGTCCAGACTAACTAACTAGTCCTTTTTGCTATCAGCTTCTAACTGGATACAATAAACACCCAAGACCTTTTCTCTAATTCCACTAGAGCATTAAAGCACAAAGGACTACGTAATGCTGAATCACAGTATGTCATGTTCTTGTTCTATTTTTATGAAATGGACATTCTACAGCAAAAAAGTACTAAAACAGAACTCTCTCTGCCGATGTGTCATGCATTTCCAAAACAAAAGCAGATAAAACCATGATGTCAATAGGTTGAAGAAAACAGTAACTCAGTCACTTTCACAGCTGCCACCAGATTCAGAATCAGTCTGAGCATCGGGAACAAAGTAATGTCATTGAAAGAGCAGAAAGCAATATATGTTGAACCTCCTTCATCTGGAAATCTCAGACCCTCGAAATCCAAAATGTTTTACTGCCAGCCTCCCAGTTCTCCCTTTAGGTGGTGGCACTCATTGGTTCTCGAGGCAGAACTGAGGGATCCCCTTATCCAGAATTCCAAAATATAAAATACTCCAAAATCCAAAGGCATCCACATGGGCGACATCTTTGCTTTCTGATTGTTCAATGTGCATACATTTTGTTTCATACTCAAAATTATTTAAAATGTTGCAGAAAATTACTTACAGGCTTTGTGTATAAGGTATATAGACTTGGTCTCATCTCCAAGATATCCCAAGGATGCATACAAAAACTGCACTTGGATTCCCACCATTTCTCAGATCATCAGGTTATCCTCACACCTCATGCATCTGTGACTTGCATTGTGTATGAGCCTTGGGGATTGAGGACCTGTGAAGTGTGAATCCAAGTACCATGTCCACACGACCTTGCAAATACAGTCTAGACTACCTGTATCCCAAAATCTAAAAACAAATAAATCCAAAATAGAAAACAGTTCCAGTTCCAATAATTTCAAATAAAGTCACCTCAACTTACATAGGAATTTCTATAGAGTAGGAATGAATCTACAATTGTCTCATATAGTAGACCACCAACTTCTCTTCAAATATACACATGGAAATAGAAGATGCAGTTTCGAACTAGACCAGAAGAGGGAAGGATCCTTCAGAGGATTTAAATGCCTGCTCTTAGGCTTACATAGCAAGGAAGAAGTTTTAAGAGTCCTTGCTTTAAAATCTATAGATACAGAAAATCACCTGGGGAAAATGTTTCGGTCTATTATGTAAAAAAAAAAAAAACAATGCCAAGTGAAACAAGGGCATCTCAGAACAGCAGTGGTACTGTCAAAAATTCTGTAAGCATCTTTATAATTCTAGAGAAAGAGGTATTCAGTACACATTCACAGGTTCTGAACTCACAAATTCAACCAACCATGGATCAAAAATATTTAGAAAAACAATCTTAAAAAAAAAGCCAAGGATGTGTAGGGCATACTCTGCTGTAGCATCTCACCACTTCACATATTCCTTCCATAACCAAATTTTAAGATGTTCACTATAAGGTATAAGAGGTGCCAATTTACTATGCCATCTGCCAAACTGCCCCTCGCCCACCCACAAAAAGCACTGGTATATACAGTGTGTTCTGCACCGAGATCCCATGTTTAATTCTTTAGGAATATTTATAATAGTAATTGCTCATAGTAATCAACATGATGAGACCACAACAGAAATTCAATATATGTATTTAATGTGTAGATTGAATATGGAATGATGCTTTGAAATGGGACTCTAAATCCCAAATCCTGGCTACAAAACTGAATAGTGTCTGAACTGGACTCATGTTGCCCATCTTGTCTATACCGCGCAGTATTTTAACATACAATCATTATCTTGCAATTCTTGAAGCTGTATATCATTTTCTTTTTATCAAACAGCATCTCAAGGTCCATTATATGAGTCTACATGGACCATAATATTTAGTTTCAAACTGCATTATGTGGGAGTGTAGATGGGACCTCTATTTTTTATTTGATTCTGACATTGAATGAATGTTGTATTTCATAGGGTTGATGATAAAGGATAATTTGCCCCAAGGAAAAGAGAACAACACAGATTTAAAAGCCCTGTCTCCACTATTGCTGGCATTAAGACTCCAGAAGTTATTTTAAAATGGCAACTTATTATAAATCAGAAGCCAAAGAAAACAATTTTAACACTTCTGTCCATAGTCTATTCTTGTCACACCATTATTTTTCTGCTTACAATTTTTAAAAAAGTTAAAATAAATCTACTGGAAGAATTCTATTAACACTAGAGCAGTCAACAGAACAGTTGGTGAAAAGTATTTCTGAATCAAACCCTGCTTATTTGGATAACTTCTAAAAGAGAAACTTGCAGTAGGACTAAAACAGTAAGAAGACGTCTAGATCTTCCACTCACAAAGCCAACAATAACTTCTCCTTTGACAGGAACTTTGTGTATACTGGCAGGGAGTAGGTTTCCAAAAGTGCTTAATAAGGAGTCCATAATTATATAATCTACTATTCATATTTTAAGATCATTTATATAGATATGCTCTATAGCATATAAACAAACCAGAATGAAAGTATTCTCTAGTGTTTCAGCATGTCTATTTTGTTTCCATTTTCATGAGAATGCTAAGAATGACTACATGCTGAACATGAATCAACAGTGGATCCTGCCCAACAGCAATCCAAATTGAGGAGTTTATCACTAGCATTGCATTTAGTTAGTATCCTTATTACACAATGCCATTTGCATTCTGCTGTTGGCCAGCCTCCTCCATGTGATTCCCGTCTCTAACTATTGAGAGTAAAATACATCAACAGTTCCCAATTCTGCAACATTATTATTACCTACGTTGGTGCAATGGGTCCCTTCCACTTCCGGCAGGAAACTGATGCCAAGAGGCAAAATGTCCTTTCCCTTCTCCCCCCTGCTATACCAAGTTATTCCTTTTATTTTATGTATATTTTTATAGTTATAGTTGCCTTTTTGTTTTGTTTTGAAAAGCTAGAATTGCACAATTATATAAAAATACTGAAAACCAGGAAAGCGGGGTTAAAAAGAGTATAAAGAAGTACAATCACAGGACCACAGATTGTCAAATAAGCACTATTTATTTATTTATTTATTTGCCACATGTATACCCTGAACTTCTCACCCTGAAGGGGACTCAGAGCAGCTTACATATCAGGATCAATTTGATGCCACACAATTACACATCAGACAAAATAAACAATGCATTAAAACCAAGCATTAAAACATATCAAAAACTAAAACCACTTACTAAAATTACAATTGTGTATTTGAATAGTGGAGTGGCATCAAAGGCACTCAAATTTGGGATATCTCTGCTATAAATGATAGCATAACTGTAATAGAGAGTTCATGTGAAAAGGTTCTATATCTTTATAGGCAATTCTGAATCAGCATCATATAATGTTCTAAGCATTAAACTAGGACTGAAAAATTCTATTTTAACTATTTGATAAAAGAAACAATGACTCGTGGAGGAAGCACTCATTAGTTTGAGCACCTCTCCCCAACATTCTGCAATCTCATGCATTATGGATCTATATAAAAAGAAAATGTCATGTGCTGGCAAGTTTGCTTCTCTGATTAATAAATTTGAACCCCGTTTCTTATTGAATGAAATGGATCAAAAGTTATATATATGAAATCATTTATACTATAGCATTTTTAAAAGATGAATCCTATGGCTTTTAAGAAAATCTAGATATTCTATGACAGACAAATTTTCTGGTTTCATTACAAAGCAGAAAATGGATCCTTTTGACACTGTAAATAAATCACTATACTCTGTAAATGATTATTATCTTTGTCAAAAAAAACGAACTAGTTCCAAATGGCCTACAAATATTATAGAAATCACAAACAACATTATTCAATCACTCCATATAATTTTGTTTAATGACAAAGAGGTAACTAGCAATCCTAAATGTTAAAAGAAATGTAAATGGATTTACAAAATAGAACGTATTTCTTCGGATACTAAGAATACTAGACAAATCATTCAAATGCTGAGCGCATATATATGAAATGCATATTGTTTGTTCCTACTACATACATTTCCAAGTTCAACAGGAAGAGTCCCTACCAATTTGTTCTAATCCTTTGAAAACCCTTCCTAAGCTTTTCAAAATATATTGCGCCAACCTATCCTTCCAACATCATGTAAATCAAGAGTATTACATGTTATGGTAACCATACTATACTTACATCATACTTTGCAGTTCAGGAGTGAAGTTTGTTGATTTTACAATCCCTCTTCCACCGCTCGATGGAACAACAGTTGACATTGGGCTAGCTCCAGTGCTGCTCATCTAAGTAAACAAAATAAAAAACCACTCTGTTTACAGGTATAAATTAGCAAACATGAAAATCAACACCAATCCCTCCTCCCCATTCAAAAAACATACAGTACTTCACAATTGATTCTGTTCCATTCTGAAGTTCAAAATGCTTGCCATGGGTATAATTATTCTCTCCTCTTTATGAACAATCTACACCACAGTGACAGACAGAGTAAGCATACTAGTAACAGTAAGCACAGTGGCAGCAAGAAGAAAATTAAGTATTTCACAGAACTAAGAAATATTTTGTTGCTTGTTTGGATGTTACTACAAGAGAAAATAAATCAGGCATTTTGTAGCAATACTTTAAAGAGACCTATCATTTGAAAAAACAAAACAAAACAAACGCTCATAACATTATAAAGATCTAAATGGCTTGAGATCCCATTTCCTGAAGGAATGATTGCTCGCATCTCTTCACATTCATACCATTGTTTGATTGACATGATGCAGATTTAGGACTACATTCAGATCTTACTAGGGAAACTAGACACCTTTAGAAATCTTTTAACTGGGTTGAAAACAGTTACTAAGGCTATTTGCTTTTTTAACATGTTAAAACATCCTTAGAAATTGTTGTTGTTCATTTGTTCAGTCGTTTCCGACTCTTCGTGACTTTACGGACCAGTCCACACCAGAGCTCCCTGTTGGTTGTCACCACCCCCAGCTCCTTCAAGGTCAATCTAGTCACTTCAAGGATGCCATCCATCCATCTTGTCCTTGGTCGGCCCCTCTTCCTTTTTCCTTCCTTTTTCCCCAGCATCATTGTCTTCTCTACGCTTTCCTTTCTTCTCATGATGTGGCCAAAGTACTTCATCTTGGCCTCTAATATCCTTCCCTCCAATGAGCAGTCAGGCTTTATTTCTTGAAGTATGGACTGGTTGGATCTTCTCTTAGAAATACTCTTAGAAATACCATCCTGCAAATATCCAAGCACATCAAGCTAAATGAGGCACCAGTTCCTAAAGACTATCCATGTCATATTATCAATACGATGACTGGATTTCCCTCTTGATACCAATATAGTATTAACCATCAATTCCAAATAGTCTTGTTGACTTAAGAAATTCTTCTCAATGTCCATTCAGACAACCTCGACAATTTCAGATCATGAAGGACTGGCTCTAAATGAATGAAGTCTGGCTCTATCTTGTAAATTTGTTTCATGTATCAATATGCAAATAAAATGACCCAACAATTTTAGATGCATGAAAGCACCTGTTGTAGTTGTGTAAAACTGTAATTGAAATTCTCAATTACAGATTCATAAAAACTCAAAATTCCCAACTGCACTGAAACCTTTCTGAACATAACACAGAGCTGGCTAAAGTTCACACTGCAACAACATGAATTTTCACTAACTTTGATCTCTTAAGAATAATTTTCATTGTTTTTGATTAATAAGTAGCATATAAACAAGGAGCAAGCCAACATAGTATATGGCTTGAGTGCTAGACTATAACACTCAAGAATCAGAGTTGAGGAAATTAGGGTTTGAATCACCGCTCAGCTGTAGAAACCTACTGGATAACCTTCGACATGTCACAGTATTCTCAGCCTCTGAGGAATGGTAAAACCCCTCTAAGGAAGGGTAAATCCCCTCTAATCAAATTGTTAACTGCTGTCAAGTCAACTTCAACTTATGGGAAGCCTACAAACGAGAGACATCCAAGTCACCCTACTAGCAACAGTCCTGCTCAGGTTTTGCAAACTCGGGGACATGGCTTCCCTGATGAAGTCTGCCCATCTTGGATGTGGGCTTCCTTTTTCCTACTGACTTCCACCTTGGCCAAATTGGTCATACCTTCTCACAATCCTGAATTGAGCAGGTCAGACCCAATGGGCACAAGGCCTTTTCCATCTCTACCTTGCTATGATTCTATGAAAGTTTCAATGAGAAACAGGAAACATATGAGTCTTCTTGCAATTGAAACATCCCAAAATAGCAAACTCAAGCTTATGAAACCAAAGCAAAAATAGTCTATGAGTTTCTCCTTGTCCCATTCCTTCATATGATTGGGTTACTTGGGCACTAGTAAGCATAGAAAGGAAACCCTGTGTCCCAAGCTCATTTCCACAACATGCAAATAAGTACTCTGAAGCATTAATGAAAACACTATGAGTCACCTATGTCGAAGTATAAGAAAGACGACTGAGTGCTGCAAAAACTTAAGAAATTAAGAATTAGGATAACGTTTTTATGAACATAACCACTCATCAGACCACCCTGCAACCTTTAAAGTAATTACTTCCCCAGCCCAGATTTGTTAGATGGTTCAGATAATTAACTTTTTTACACATCAAAGTCACATCACATGCATGTTCTATTTCCTTCCTTCCGGACATTAAATAACTCAGACAAAAGCAGAAGCGCTCAAATCAATTTTCTCCAATAAATCCAACTAACATGAAACTCAAAACCTACTGTTATAACCAGTGGGTCAATGTACTGCAGTTGTTTTTGCTTTGAATTTAAATGCAGCTGCGTGCCATATTCTACAAAATGAATTCAGATGTTCAGAAAGAATTGCAGATTGTTTCAACATGCTCTAGTTTATACATGAACCCCTGTAAAAAGATGATAATAATTGATTAACACTATTTAAAACTAGTAATTATGAGGTTCTAACTAAATCTATATATTTGCCAAATACTTTTCTACTGAAGAAAACCTGCAATTCATAAAGGTAATAGAAAAGTAAATAAAAATATCATTTTTAAAAAACGGGGATTTTATCTGCAGTCATCTATATAAAGACAATCCCATACTCAGCAAATAGAAACCCTTCAGCACACTTGTTTTTACCTCTAGCCAAAATTAGGATTAAAAAATAATAATCCTGAGATGGTTAGAGCAAAATCTTCTTTAAGGAAAATTATGTTTCCAAAAAATTATTTTGTGGTAATGTTAAACAAAACATAAGATGCAAAAAAATAAATACTGCCAATGCTACTAATATAAAAATATATTAGGGGTCAAAATGAAACAAAATTGGATTTTTCACAAAATGTGAACAGGAGAGTACCATAAATAAATAAATAAATAAATAAATAAATAAATAAATAAATAAATAAATAAATAACTTTATTTTTAACCCGCCCTCTCTCCTTGAGGGGACTCAAGGCAGCTATCATCAACTTTCATGACATTTTCCAATTAGCATGAAAGTAATGTATATCAAAACATATGATGACAACAAAATTCATCCAAAGAACGTTGTTTTAGTTTGCCTTTATTCCATTTGCTCTCCCTATTCAGCATCTAACTCATTTCTCATTTTTAAAAAGAAATTAGTATTTTTTTCAAATCATAATGTGTTTTTTATACTTTGGTGCTAAAGGTGAGGGCAAATAATGGCAAAACCTTCATCTACATTTACTGTTGTTTTTTGTTTTGTTTGTTTTTTTGTTGTTCCCCAATCAAGGCAGAAGTCTTTGACTCTTTTCTCTTATGAAATAGGGAGTAGAACCAAACTCAGCTCAGTAATTCTCAAGAAGTGCTTTTATTATGGAAAGGTCTTTGAAAACCTGAGTATAGTCAGTCCTGCCTATTTATGTATTTTGTATCCACACATTCCACCATCTACAATTTGAAAACACTTTTTAAAAACAAATTCAAACAACCAAATCTTGATTTTTTTCATTTTATATAAAGGACACAAATTTACTAGGCCACTGTATATAATGAGACTTGAGCATCCAAGGATTTTGGTATCCAAAGGAGTTCCTAGAATCAAACTCCAGAGGATACCAAGGGCCCAATATTACCAAAGCCAAAGTCATAATCAAGTGTTTCTGGTTTTGGTAACTGTTCACTTAGATTAGTGGTTCTCAACCTGTGGTCCGCGAGAGCTAAAATATGCAGTGGCTTCACTGTTGCTACACCGTTACAACTCCCGAAACCCTCTTATAGTGCCAAGGCGTATTAAATATGGTTTTCTGTGGGCAAGAAGATGGCAACTTGTTGTTGTTCATTCGTTCAGTCGTCTCCGACTCTTCGTGACCTCATGGACCAGCCTACGCCAGAGCTCCCTGTTGGCCGTCACCACCCCCAGCTCCTTCAAGGTCAGTCCAGTCACTTCAAGGATGCCATCCATCCATCTTGCCCTTGGTTGGCCCCTCTTCCTTTTGCCTTCCACTTTCCCCAGCATAATTGTCTTCTCTAGGCTTTCCTGTCTCCTCATGATGTGGCCAAAGTACTTCAACTTTGTCTCTAATATCTTTCCCTCCAGTGAGCAGTCGGGCTTTATTTCCTGGAGGATGGACTGGTTGGATCTTCTCGCAGTCCAAGGCACTCTCAGAACTTTCCTCCAACACCACAGCTCAAAAGCATCGATCTTACCTTCGCTCAGCCTTCCCTAAGGTCCAGCTCTCACATCCGTAGGTTACTACAGGGAATACCATGGCTTTGACTAGGCGGATCTTTGTTGCCAGTCTGATGTCTCTACTCTACTATTTTATCGAGATTGGACATTGCTCTCCTCCCAAGAAGTAAGCGTCTTCTGATTTCCTGGCCACAGTCTGCATCTGCAGTAATCTTTGCACCTAGAAATACAAAGTCTGTCACGGCCTCCACATTTTCTCCCTCTATTTTCCAGTTGTCAATAATTCTTGTTGCCATAATCTTGGTTTTTTTGACGTTTAGCTGCAACCCGGCTTTTGCGCTTTCTTCTTTCACCTTGATTAGAAGGCTCCTCAGCTCCTCCTCGCTTTCGGCCATCAGAGTGGTGTCATCTGCATATCTGAGGTTGTTAATGTTTCTTCCAGCAATTTTCACCCCAGCTTTGCATCATCAAGCCCCGCACATCGCATAATGTGTTCTGCATACAAGTTAAAAAGGTTGGGTGAGAGTATGCAGCCTTGCCGTACGCCTTTCCCAATCTTGAACCAGTCTGTTGCTCCGTGGTCAGTTCTGACTGTTGCGACTTGGTCCTTATACAGATTCCTCAGGAGAGAGACAGGGTGACTTG